ACAAGTACATACATCAGGAGGTCGATTTGTGAGAACTGAACCACGCAGGAACTTTATTCACCTGACGTCTCAGATTCGTTCTCGAACTCATCATCAGATCATCTGCAACCTACTCACTGGACTGCGCATAGAAGTCATCCAGTTTCTGTAAATTAAGCATTCGACAATGTACTCAGGTTTAACTACTGTAGGATACTTAACGATCCGCAGCAGAAGATCTGGACAGTCCAACCGATCCTCTTGGCCAAAGACGAGTACCGAAGGTACAGGAACCAATTTCATGTCTTGATGAATTAGGCCAAGTCCAGATTTCAGCTGATCCCCTCTTCGATACTTCCAGTCGCGTAGCGGTTCTGGGTCGAGGGCCGTAACACTCAGCTCGTAAGGTTGAAAATGAAGGAGCCCAAACCACCTCAGTTCTTTTTCTTGGATGGCCTGGGTAATCCTTGCAATACAGAAGGTACGACTGTTGGAACAAGAAATTTATTGGCCTGACGTTCCGGATTCTCGCTCAAACCCATCAGAGACAATCCCAGATAAAAGTAATACATGCACAGGATGCGCAGTATTTATAATCCGTAGTGCTTACGCGATCACAGAACATAAATTTATTCAATATGGTCGTGTTTTATTATGGAAGCGACCAGGCTAGTCCTAGGTGGCAGTTCAGAAGGAAGAGGATGCGATCACTTGAACAAGAAGTTTATTGGCATGAAATTCCGGATTCTCGCTCGAACCTATCATTAGCGAGAGTAGCAGATAAGTAGCTGTGGTGTTTTCGTAGCGAGTGCGGTCTGTCTCAATCGAAAAGAAGTCGCTATACTCCACTCGAAGGACGGTCGTCAAACCGTGGGTGCAGATCGTATACAGGTCGCTGTTCAAACGCTAACCTGTAAGCTCAGAATCTGGGGGTTTTGCGTGAGGCCTGATTTCCAAAAAGAGAATGCCTTTACATACAAAGAGACCTTTTGTTTTTGTGTGGACATACGCTGTTTCAGGTCGAGTGTCGGGAAAGTAAGTGGCAGAAGCACTTACCGTATCCTGGCTGCTCAACCTCATCCCGACATCTTGAATCGTTTCCTATTGCTTCTTCAAAAATGCAAGATAGAAGAAATCACAATGAAAACGTGGTTTTAGATGCCCATTCTTCCAATAAATTGTAATCTAGCTTGGAACTCCCTCCTTCATTAGCTAAACAAAGACTAGGAAAAGACGGAATCTAACTGTGATGTTGTGACAACAAGTTCACCCAACGGGGAAGCAGAGGTCTCGACAGACTGAACAACTGTCACAACTACCTTCCATTGAGGTCATAAGTAAGAACGCGAACCGTTGCTGAGCCCTCTAGGCGTCCACTACACGGTTGAGGCGACGTGGGAGGGCGAAAACAAACGTCGGCTAGCTCGATATGCCATATAACTGTATGCTCGATTTTATTCAGTAAATGCTTTGTAAGGGAGAACTAGCCAAGCTCTCCGAAACGCCAGCAACGCAACGCACCTGCTTCAGCGAGCTATTATCTCCCTCTCAAACAATTCAAATTGTTTGTTTTTACATCTCCACAGCTATGAAGATGTATGCGAGAATAAAAGAAAGGCTCAGGCGAAGAAATTATTATTCCTAGGGTAACCGCAAAGTACAAGAAAGGGCACGGCTCTCTGCCGCGATTGTTATTACCATCATGGAAACTGGAAGCAATCTTAAGAGCATTTGCGAATAAAAAAAAACGTGATAGATTACGTGGATGATGTCCAGGAGGTGGGTGTTGAAAAGAGGGGTAAAGTAAGACAAGGAAAGACAAAAAAAGTGTGATAGTCTTGGGTTTAAAAAGCCGAGGCGGGGTGCCTACGTTTCCAGTTTGTGCTTTATTTCCTGCTTTGTGCAGTATATCAGTGCACTAAGAAGGCGCACAAATCCTGTGTCCATCGGTTTGTCTAGACCCCTGAGCAGTCGGTTCTTCATCACTTGTACGAACTCCTTGTAACTAAGTTGGCCGTCATCTAGGAAACAGAAAGAGAAGCTTAACCCGTATGCACGATGGCCACGATAATGAAAATTCAAACGACAAGACAACATTCTAAATTAAAATATATTACTTAAACTGATCAGAGACGAGTCGTCTGTGAGTATTTCGGATGCGGTTCAATGAAAGGTCATAGGTTCCCAACTTGCCGACTACACTTGGTTTAAATAATCTAAATGAATAAGTGTAATACGGCAACTAATAAATTCGAGCTTCCTGGAAGTTTAAGAAGCAATACGGGGTTCTGGGCTCTTTTTGAAAATTCTTTTAGTAGAATTGGGTTCGTATTTTATATAGAAAGGGCACAACTGACCAGTCTATTCCAAATAATCAGACCTGTCTGAGAGAGTTCGTGACTCAGGCGAACAAATTACTAGCAGTTGGGTAACTCGCAAAATACTTCTTTCACAGCTTCAGAAACAATTTTGTTCAAAACGACTTTGGCAAGGACTTAGTCGTCGTTTCATTAGCGCCGAAAGAGACCCTAAAACCACTTTGTTAAACAGCGAATCTTCGACGGATGTAAAAGAAGGCTTCAGAAAAAGTGTCAAGTATTTACACAATACATTCTTGGGCGCGTGGGAGGCCAGGATAAGCCGAACTGTGGGTGAGTGGTGGGCAAAAATCACAATGTTGTAGTCCGCTGTGGCCTGTAGGAGGCAGATTTTCCCAGCTAGTTGTTCAAACACCGTTACATGGACTGCAACTGTTTCTCCGCCCGGCCCGAAACCCCTCTTATTTCACAGTCAGCCTTCATTGAGGACCGTCCACTATTGGCCACCCGTGGAAGCGCCGGGAGCTCGCGATTAAAGTAACACGAAGGTCTCCTTGATATCTGTGAAAACAGCAATATCAATACATATCTTACAGTGTAGAGGCTAACTGCTAAGCCCCGGCCCCTCGGCGTAGCAGTGTTTAGACCAGTAAACAATAATAGACGAAGAATCGAAATACTTCACTATAGTGATAGTTAAAAGGAAGTACCGTTTTCATCGAACAGGGTAAACACAACATCAACGACGTGCGGCCTGAGGTGTACATTCGCGACGACCTTGGCCATATGCAGAAAGGTGTCCGGATCGATCGCAGCGCCGGCCAGAGTATGGAAAGTCAGTGCGGTATCCAGGTCCGAAATAGAGCGAAGGAGCCGACTAAAGTCAAGGAAGTCCTGGAAACTGATGCCCTAGAAACGAGTGAAAACAAAAAGAGTTCAGACATTATGGTGGTTGCGCCAGGTCTTTGTTTTCGACCGAGATCAGGTAACTGCCCCGATTGGTATAAACAAGAAACACCGGACGCCAAACATTTGGGAGTATAAAAATAACAAAGTTTCACAGAAGGAGTTTCCCAGTACACTTTTTTTTATCTTCTCTACACTGACTCTTGACGCCTAAAAATCTAAGTTAAAGATACCCCATTTTTCATTTGAACCAATTTTTAAAACTGGTTCTCGCAGCTCAGTTAGCTGTACTAAAGCCTTTCCCTGGCTGTTGTGGGTTCGAATTCATCCGAGAACGTCGTTTTTTGCAACTGGGTTAAATAAATTATTTAAATTTTCCCCAAACCCCCCTACTAACACCCTTTTGTCCAAACAACGTAGGTTGCATGTTTGGAGTAGGAGAGGTGGTTCCTTTGAAACAAAAAAGGAAAACTCTGATCCGCACGGCGTAGAGTCAATCGTCAGTAAAAGGCAGTTAATTCGAGATAAAGTTACCGCAGATGCAAAAGCTTACCCTAGGTTCTTCTTTGCTGTCCTGTTTCTCCTCCGCCTCCTCATCGTCATCATCTTCACTTGTGTCAAACTTTTGTTTTACTCGGCGAAGCATAATCCTTCTTCTGTTTTCCGAAAAGCCAGCATAGGTCAGCAGGGATTTGGCAAAGGCACGTTCCGAGATTAGTCCATCTTGAGGCCCGAGACGTTCAAACTAGAAATGCCATAAGAACATTCTGCTTGAGAGCAGCCAAGGATGCAGTATAAGAGTGAAGAACACCAACTGTTTATTCGCTGACCGTAGGTTGAACGTGCTCTGATGGGCAAAACAGCTGCTAAGGCATTAATTTCTGGCGATTGGCCGACAACCAACTTTAAGTTGCAGGTAAGTTCACGCACAGTCTTTGTAGCCCGTTGTTGTACACCTTCAGTAATAGCTATACCTTGCTGAAGCTACGGCCGCCGAGTCTGTACCGCATATTCCAGGTGCGGTGGTACAAATTCCCCATGTACATTCAACATGCTCTGCTGAAAGAAACAGCTGCCACGGAAGTAAATGTTGGGATTGGCTAACAAGCAACTTAAATTCACAGTTAAGGTAAGGCACAGCTTTCCAATATCTCCTTAGGTCAATTTAAGGTTTTTACACGACTACGCCAGTTGCCAGCGACCTGGCTGTCAGTGATCAGTTCTCGGTCAGAATTCATGACATTAATATAAGGAATACTCGATCCAGATTCTCGTCACAAGACCATTGCTAGCTGCTGCTCAATGTATATTTGATGGCAAGTTTTCCCCTCATGCGGTATGTTTGTCGGTCGCTACGATTAGCTAAGAGTCTAAATAAAAAACAAGATGATTGACTTTCATAGCATAAGATGTGTGCTAGGCCAAGAAAAGTTCCTAGAAATTTGACAGCTTGCGAGGAATAACTAGAGGGTGACGGGTAACCCAAGAATGTGACTCGTGTAAGACACAGAATAGTGAGCCATACTTGACTTTACCTCTCGTTCGCCAAGTTCATATGACCTGCTCCGAGTTTAAGTTTGATTTTCGCAAATCATACGGAGAGTCCTTTTACCTGTGAAGATTCAGATCAGAGCAGGCATTCCTGATGCTAAAACTACGACCCTTCCGGGGGCCAAGTTACCAAACCTACGGGCCGAAATGTAAGATCTACTTGAAAGAAGTCATCAAATTAAAAAGATGGGACGTGATCGCAAACGAATACCTGCACAGGGTAAGAATGAAAGTTGGCCAGAAGATGGACTTCAAAGTTTTCTGTCTTGCTTGACCGTGAAAATCTGTCGGTGGCCAACAGTGTGGCTTGTTCACAGAGGATCATCTCAGAAACTGAGAAAAATCTTATCGAAGGTAAAGTTATTGAACTAATATACATTT